CTGAGACAGAGACTTCTAATACAGTTCTGAGCTTTGCAGATGGCTCCTGAGCTTCAGTACTGAACTGAAACGGCACATGTACCAAAGCTGCTCCCATCTTGTGGCTGAGATTATCCTGTCTATGTAGCTTTAAAACAGGGCTCTCTGGCCCTCAAAGAGATTCTGTGAGCTACCTACCATCTCTAATCAACTTCTGTACTGAAGAGCCAGATCCATTCTGGCTAGTGTGAACAAAGGAGAAAATGAGTAAAGGATATTAGCAACTAAGGTTCCTGACCACAATAGGCTTAAAGCTGGGGACTATCTTTTTTTTCCTTTTTTTCAAAAGGTCATTTTGCCAGTAGAGGTGTGGATGAATTAGAAGGAAAATAAGGAGGCTGTGGCAGTAATTCAAGAACTGATTAGGAAGGACCTTAATCAAGTGAATGACAATAAGAAAAAGAAAAACTATTAAGAAGAAAATGACAACGCAATATAAATACACTTCGTAAATATGCAGTTCAGTTGGTGAAACATAAAAACAAAAAGATAAAAATCAAAAAGCATGATCTTTTTTATTTTTTGATTGTCAGTCTGGTAAAAATTATAACCATTTTTAACACTCAATATTGGGCAAGACTAGGCAAAAATACTGAGGTAGAACTGATGGGAATTGACAAATAAATCCTTTTTTTTAAAAAAAAAACTTCCTTTTATCACCAATTTTTACTTAATCTATTGAAATACTTTTTAGGTGATTCTGAAAGAGCAGGAAGCTATTGACAAACATCTGTCCTATGTTGTTTACTAAGTTTGTGAATAATCTTTGTAGTATTTTATATGATTAAGGAAACAGTCTCAAAATTATTTGTTCAGTGTTTGTATACTTAATCTTAGTCAAAAGGCCAAGAAGCAGTATGAAGTTTTTATAAAGAAAACTCAAAGCGTGAGTATTACTAGAGCAATGAGCAAAATGACCAGCTTATCCAGGATTACATATTAAGTATATATGCCATGCTGAGGCTTGTTATTCTTACAAGGATCTGGAAATAGCAAAACCTCATACAAATGAGAGAAGACAGTTTATACAAAAGCACAAACCACACACATTCAACCAAAATGCAACTACAGTAACAACTTCTTTAGTCAGGGAACATGGGTCACAGAGCCGAATACTGAAGGGGAAAAGGTATAGACTCATGGCTAAGTAACCTTGAAACTGCATTTGAAAAAGGCATTTAAGTAAGTCTATGGGAGCAGCTAAGAACAGGCAGTTACACAATATCTAGAGAGAGATGTCTTTAGCACTGAGGAAAAAGTAAAAGTGTGCACCGAGCTTCCATTTATGGTGACACTATTAATAAACAATTTAAGATGGTGGCATACTATTGTGAGTTCTACCTTGTTCCCATGGTGTGTGGGTTACATAGACCAGAACATGATAAGCCTCCGTCATCTGTGGGAAGTAATCTTGTGGTTGAGATAGGTGAACAGTACTTATACTTTTGAAAACTAACAGTTTAGATAAGGGTAAGCACTTATAACCAGGAGCACAGTTCTGTGTATGTATCCTTGAAGAAAACAGCAAGGTGATTTGGAGAAGGCAGGTAAACAGACAGTAACACAATTATAATACAACATGACACAGGTTATAAAAGCATTAAATGACAAGTGATGTGGAACACAGGGGAAAGTAAGGAACACTGTGGAGAAGTAATATTTGATAAGGATCTTAAATAGGAGTTCACTAGACAAAGAAAAAGCTTATAAAAGTAATGGCACAGAAGTATAATGAACATAGGAAATAGGATAGGAAAGGTAAGTTATAACAATTACCAACTTTACTAGGATAAGAAAGATATAACCATTTATAGTATTAACCACCTATACAAATACATATTAAGTACCTACTGCAAGCCAGGTACTCCATGAGAAAGAGACAACAGAGTAAAAGGGGCAGAACCTATCTTTAAGTAGCTCACACATTTGTGGAAAGTTAGATGTTCATCTAATGGTGTTGAGGAAAGTTCAGGGTGCTGGTGACCTGTGGACAGGATACATTTCCCTGAGGAGTGAACTTTGATCAGAGAGCTGAATATAGCATATGGAAAAAGAATACTAGGTTCTAATATGGGCAAGAACCCTAAAAGAAGCAGAAGTCTGCTGTAGTTAGAGCAAGAAAGAAGGAAAAAGGGGGCATGGCTCAAGTGGTAGAGCACCTGCCTATCAAATGAGAGGCCCTGAGTTCAAACCCCAGTGCTGCCAAAAAACAAAACAAAACTAGTGAAAAGGCAAGCTACAGAATCAGAGAAAATATTTGCTAATCCTATCTCCAATAGGAATTAATATGCAAAGTAAACGAACTCCTACAACTCAAAAAACAGAAAAGCAAAGAACCCAATGAAAAATGGATGAGGGACATTTCTCTCAAGAAGATACACTAATAGCCAATAAGTACATGAAAAGATGGTCAACATCACTAATCATTAGAGAAATGCAATTAAAACCACACTTAGATATTGTTTCATATATATTAGGATGGCCAGCAAGCAAAATAACAGAAAATACATGTTAGCAAGTATGTGGAGAAAGTAGAGCCGGGTGCACTGCTGGTGTAAACCTATGATGCAGTCATTGTGAAAACAAAATAATAGTACCTCAAAAAAAATAAACAGAATTACCATATGATCCAGCAATTCCACATCTAGGCATATCCAGAGGAACTGAAGCAGAGACTTGAGCAGATCATTTGTGTTCACAATAGTTGTAGCAACATTGTTCACAACAGCCAAAAAGTAGAAACAGTCCAGATGTCCACGGATGGATGGATGAACAAAATGTACCATATACTGGAATAATATAATGGAGTATTATTTAGCTTTAAAAAGAAACAAAATTCTGATAAATGCTACAATAAGAACTTTGAAAACACTGTGTTCAGTGACATAAACCAGACCAAAATAACCAACATGATATGACTCCACCTTGTGAGGCATCCACAGTAGTCAAATTCGGAGCAGAAAGTAAAATGATTCTACAGGAACTGGAGGAGAAAATGGGAAATTACTAATTAATGTGTACAAAGTTTCAATCTGAGATGATGAAAAAGTTCTGAAGACCAGTAACAGTGGTAGCTGCACAATAATGTAAGCATACTTTTTCTTTTTTGGTAGGATTGGGTTTGAACTCACAGCTTCATGCTTGCAAAGCAGGCACTCACTTGAGCCACACCTCCAGTCCATTTTTCTCTGGTTCTTTTCTTTCTTTTTTTTTTTCCCTCTGGTTATTCTGAAGATGGGGGTCTCATGAACTATTTGCTCAACTGGCCTGGAACCATGATCCTCCTGATTTTAGCCTCTCAAGTAGGATTATAGGCGTGAGTCACTGGTGACCAGCTGATATGAGCATAATTAGTACATAACTGAAGTGTACCCTTGGAAATGGTAAACTTCCATTTTACATATAAAATAGTAAATTTTATATGTATTTTGCCACAAAAGTATTTTTGTAAGAATATTTTAAAATATTTTTAAAATGGTGATATATGTGAAGGACGTTTATATACATTAGGTGGGGAAAATGGGTTACAAACTGTATATACAATAAGATCTCTTCTCTGTTTAAAAATCAATGAATATCTCGCCCGACATGGGCCCAAGAAAGACTTTGATTTTCATATTGGGGCCAGAAGTGTGGTCCTTATTAGAACTGTGAGAGAGGCTGGGAAATTGAATATTTAGCTTCCTTCCCTTATTAATCAGCCTATTCATCATCTACAACAGTGTGAATGCTCTGCATAAGGAAGCTCTCAGATGGAGTACTGAACACTATGTTTCTCCTAAATGATGTTACATGAGCATTACTGGGCTCACGGCAGTCTAGCCACTGCTCTCTAAGTATTATGTGGGTTGACTGCCTTTGTACCACAAAGAGTGCTATGAACTGGGCATGGCATTGCCCACCTCTAATCCCAGAACTTGGAAAGCTGAGGCTGGAGGATCACAAGTTTGAGTCCAGTCTGGGCTATACGGTGAGATCTTGCCAAAAACAACAACAACAAAAAAGTGCTATGAAATGCTGACTTAAAGAGAAAAAACAAAAACAAACTGAAATACTGACAGAGTAGAAAAAACACTGAGGTGAAAGTCAGAATAGTTTGGTCTGGGTTCAGATTCTGCTGCTTATTACCCAGTGTTATTTCATTCAGCATGTTACTACATCTGTGTAACTTCAAGGGTGAGACTAACTTTACCCCCGAAGGCATTGGACTAACTTCAGGGGTGAGAACAAGATGAAAGCAAAAACATGCTAAATAAACAACAGTCTCTGCCTTCAAGAAGATGATTTTTTTACTTGAACAAATCATTTCATCTTGCAAACCTTCAGTTTCTTTACCTGTAACTCAAAGATATTCTCAGTGTGTTTTCTGAAAACAGGATAGATAATTCAACCCCGGTGTCTTTCATATTTTGGGACTTATAATTCCTTGTCTGACAGTACAGCTCTGTTCTGCATGTTGTAGGATATACAGTGTCATCCCTGGCCTCTACCCACTATATGCCAGTAGCACCCTTCCCCTTGCTGTTATGACTAACAAAATTGTTTACAGAAATTGCCAAGTGTTCCCTAGAGTAAAAATACTCCCATTTGAGAACATATGAAATAGGGTGATGTATATGAAACTATTTTAAAAAGTAGAAAGCACTAATCAATTTAAGTCAGTATAATATAAATCCATTGTAAGAGTACTTGTCAAAAAAAAAACCTTTAAAAATTTACAGTTTCCTTAGGAATGTTTTATTTGCTATTTTTATATATTTTGCCTACAATTAAAACTCCTGCAGGGTATTTTGCTTAATTTCCATTACCCAAATAAAGTTATCTTCTTTCAACATAGTTTTTAAATGTATCACTATTTTAACATGATAGTCAGAGTCAAATATAATTCTCTACAAGCAGAAATTTAATTTTCTTTGTCCAAAATCAAAGTGCTCTGGGTTTACCTTTTAAGGACAAGGGACCGATCTTGTGAATTCTGCATTTGATGTCCTGTGCTGTTTACAAATTTCCAAATACTCCTTGACTCTCGAATCAATTGTTTCTTTTAACTGCAGACTTCCTAGAGAAAATATAAAAATTAGATATAACTTTCTGGTATAATGCAATGCAAAAAAAGTTAACCTCATACATATTAAAAAGTCAATGCTGAACCTTTCATTTTGTTTGTCTTTTAACTTTAGCTATGAATGCTGAAAGGAATGTTGTACATGCTTATGGATAACTGCAGATTAAACTAACAAGATTATTTAAAACTATGGTGTACGTTCACTGTATGATCTGAGAAATTCATTTCTCTATGTCTTCCAAAAGAAAGATAAAAAGTTTATCAATGTAAAAGCCAGGATGATGTGGTGATAAAATCAGTAAGGTAAAGAACATTTTCAAATAAATATCTTTTAGTTGTATTGTGATGAATCGATGTCAAATGGAGCCATAACTGACTACCAACAAAGGCCCTGTAAAGGGTCTATAGTGGCAGACAGGGGAATGCAAACAGACAAGGAGCCAGGAGTAGGAATGTATTCTGGTACTATAGGTGCAGGTGGCATGAGGAACCCAGGCAATAGGGGGCAACCCCCTCTGTTTCACTACAGTGTTGTCATGTTTATAAATAGTATTCCTAGATCTTCCAATTTGTTCAAGAGGAGCCAGAAACAGTGAAGTTTATACAAAAATTTCTCAGTTTTCAAACTTGGTTCAATTTTTTTTTCTTCTTTAGTGTAAATACTATCAATAATTAGTTTTTGGCCTTAGGTTTACAAATTTACTAGTGAAGGAAAAGTGTTGAGCAGTGGGCTAAACAGAGAACTGGAAATGGATCATCTGATTTTCTTCCCCACAGTTGTGGATGATAATGTATATGCCCATAAGTTTTAATAAAACTACATTATGTTCATCTATTAATGAAAATAATTTCTTGCACTTCTCTGAAGTAATAATTACTATGTAACAGAAATAGGGGTTTTAATACAATTTCAGCATGTGATATCAATAACAGCCTTTTAGATATATCAATTAGTTTCTGTGATTCTTATAAAAAAAGAACAAAAATTCAAAGTGTAATCATACATTGGGAAGACACTCTATGTAGTGATTTTTTTTTTTGCATTACCAGAAAAATGTAATCTAATGTAGGAAAAGGGAGCAAAACTATACACAAAACTGATATTTAAGGATGGATAATTCTTAGTTCAGTTCTGAAAGACTCTACAGCTGGCTCAGAGTTGTCCGGGCCACCTCAAACCTGTTTCACTGGTTTCTTGCAATGTCATGTCAAGCTGATTTTAGAATTTTCATAATTACAACATGAGCAAAGTTTTCAGTTGCTCTGAAGAACAACCATAGGGAAACTTTACCTTTACTGCAAATATTTGTACCCTTCAATCAGTATATGAAACCCTTAACTCACAAATAGAAGTTTCTAGATAAAATAATACTTTTCTCCTTTCTCCTGCTTTTCATTTTGCAGCCCAAAAAGACGTAGTGCCTTTTGGAAAACAGATATCCGTTTACAGTTAAGTGTTTTGGCATTGTTCACACAACAGAAAGGCAGCCTTGCCTTGTACTGTTGTTTTAGCAATTACAGAATTTTGCTTCACATGCAGGGTTCAACTATGATTGAGCAAGAAAATATGTGAAAGACATACATGGAAACAAAAATTGTTAAAATTTGGCCATAAATACCCTATAAGGCCAAGACTAAAAATAGTATTATAAAAATAGAGTACAGGCCAATACACATTACAGTTTCTTCTTACAGTTATGGGTTTTCCTTCTATAAGTCAGATTTCATAGATGAAAGGTAGACTATGTACAATGTGGTCAAGCTACCCCAGTAAGTGACCATAACACATTCAGTGAAACATTCTCTTTAGAACCAGAGTGATACAGAAAAACTGCCAGTAACATTTGAGAAGATGAAAGGAGAAATTTAAAATCAATGAGCAAGCAAGGGATGCATATGTCATCTTTCAGCTAACAGGGGCTTATGTTTATTTCCTCATGTTTACAAATGGAACAGTTTGATCTTGACTGTTTGGGTACAAAGACTACTTGGGCTGGATGCAAAATAAACATATGTTTAATACTTGTAATTAATTCATTTTTCTAAAAAGGAACTGGATATTCTTAGACTTTTGTTATATAAAATGGCTGTTAAAATGTAATCAATCTGGCTGACCATGAAATCCCAATCATGAGATGATCTAATGATAAAAAACAATGAAAGCACAGAGACACTGAACATATGTAATGTCTTAAGTTTTCTTCAACTAGCTCTTCTCCCTGCTTAGACTCACATAAAAATTATTACAGAGAAATTTTAATGTCATGTCAGTGAACATATATTTTTTAAAGGAACAACTTAAAGCAGAGGTAGCAAACCATCTACTTAGCTTTGAGAGGAAAGTTCGGCTTGCTGACATGACCTGCCCTCTCACAGGTGCCACTGCAGCATTGCTCTGCAGGTCTTATCATGCACTGCACATTTTTGCTAAATCATGCCTCACTGCTCTGAAGTTGGTGCCAGTTGGAGCAATGTAGCTGCATTTGACACCTTGAAAAAAATCTGGCCTCACACTTTCCCTAGCAGGTGATCACGTATCCTTGCAGGGCTTCAGAATATTCCACATCAACTGTCTTTTGGGTATAACTGACAAAATATCAACACAAAAGCTCTAAGGCCAAAGTGGTAAAGGTGAGAGAGAATGAAGAAAAATCCGAGCCTGGAATGGTAGATTCCAGAACACTGTCAATGTAAGTCAAGTCAGAAGCTTTTCAGATAAGCTTGCCTTGTGTGAAATAGTAGTCACTTTAGGAATTTATTTGAATCATATAGACATATGTCAATAAGCTAAGGCTTTGAGTGGCTGTAGGAGATATTGGCCTACTAATTATTAAGTCCTGAAGAGGACTTACCTGGATGATGTCTATCATACTAAACCTATGTCTTCTCTAGGGTTCGCCAGGTATCCTTCGCAAAATAATACAGAAAAGTCCGGATGATGTTACCTTTTGGCTGAAAATGTATCATCCTGGTTTTGGGGATGGGAATAGAGTTGGGGGGAGGTAGATGGGAGAGTTTTAGTGATCTCCAAAAACTGACTGAAAAAAAAATTATAACAGGAAAGTTTTTTTTGGGAGGGGGGACTATCACTAGCTAATTTGCAATAAAATTTACTCCTTAGTTTGCAGATAAGAAGACTGAAATGCAGGGAGGTTAAACATCAGAGAGTTGTCTCTTGGAAAACATGGGGGTTAGGAGCACTGTCTCTCTACACTGTTGGAAATCTGTGTGTAATTTGTGACTCCCCCAAGCTTAACTACTATTGACTGGAAAGCATTACTAATGAAAAGAACAGTCAATCAACACATACTTTCTTTGTTATATGTGGTGAAACTACATGAGAACTATATGAGAACTGCAAAAGATCACTTTCTACTATGACACACAATTTACTAAGAGATGAACAGTTCATGTAGCATGACTAGCTCACAGATACACACCTGAGCTCACTGTAATAGCAATGATAGCTTACAAATTATTACAGTAGAACAGGATTACTACAGCTAACTTTGGGCAGTAATGATTTAATATTTATATTTGCATCTTTATATGTATTCACATTTCTCTCAACTGCAAGTGGTGCCATTCACAGTCTGGGTTTGTGTGCTTAACTTTTGATAAATTTTAGCTTTCTACAATAGATTTGCATGTATTTTATGCTAGTAAATAAAACAGATTATTAACTACATATTTAATGCAATCATAGCATACCTAACTTTTTATTAATCTTTCCAATATTTCAAGGCTACCAAGGTCATCTGAGAGTTTTTTCAAACTATTGAAACTCTCCAGAAATAAATTCCACATATAAATGGATCTGCACAGTCCAAAACTGTTTTCAAGGGTCAACTACCCACCCATATAAGACTGTGTGCTTTTCTGACTGACTGGCCAATATGAGAGAAGGAACAACTATGTATCTCTCCATTTTTCAAATGCACTTGACAATGAAAGGATGACGGAAGACAAAAGATGAACATTTAAAACAGGTGTGAAAGATTACCCACATGTTAACCTCCATACCTGCTCCAGGTACCCAGTCATCCTTCACATAACTCAGATCAAAATCCCTATTTATGTGGAATACTTTAACTTCTTTTTCTTCCCCTTTTAATAAATGAATCCTTTCCCCAAAAACAAAGGGATGGGGAAGTTTTTGGTTTAAATAATATAGTTGGGGATGGGGATATAGCTCAACTCAGTTGTAGTGTTTGCCTAGCATATGAAAAAGCCTGAGTTAAATCCTGAACACCACACACAAAATAATAAATAATCACACAATGATAGAGTAGCATTTGAAGCATATGTATGTGTCAGATTCTGAATGGGAAAAAAAGTGATGTATATGTGTCTGTTATTGAGAACACAATTGTTTTTCAAGAGCTAAATATCATTCAGTATATTTTCCCACTAATAAAAATATTGTAACATTTCTTCTAGCAGCTACAACTACTTTTGTTTAAATAGCAAAAAGGTTTTGGTACCTCTTTCTTCTGTTCAGAAAACCAGCTGGTATTTCTGTTTGAACCTTGTGGCAATATATGAAGATCCACCAGGTCAGCAAAATTCCTACACTGAAAGACATTAATGGCAAAGTCAGAGCCCATGCAGCAAACAATGAGACAAAACCTCACAAATTTCTATGTGGCTGCTCATGGATGGATAGCAACAAAGTTCACTACTGGATACAAATCTTAACATGGGCTATATATCTAAGCTATTACTTTTCATAAGTTGAATGTTTATAGTGGAAATGCTAAGGAGAAATACAGGGTTAATCAGGTTAGAAATGACAAAATATCTATCTCTGGGCCATACCTTGAAAGGGGATGCCCAGACATCTCAGTGACAGCTGAAGTTATCAAACATTGAGAGAAGTTATTAAATAGGTCAAAACTAGGTATGCTTCAGGAAAAAATGATTCTGTGCACAGCCAGGAGATTTCTATCTTCTAAGTAGGAAAGATTAGATATAAACTATTACAGCTTTAGACAGACAAAGAACTGACTAGGACAAACATCTTGGAATAGAAACAGAAGCCCAGAGAATAGGAAGGAAGCAAGGAGAGGAAGATAGATGTTGAACGCCATTTATCACAACTGAAAAAAATTTCATTAAAATATGCCACAAACTGTATAAGGCCTGTCTCCACTCTTATTCTATTGGGTAGCACCACTTAGTAGAAATTAAAATATTGTATGTCTATGCTTTTCATAGATAGCCAATAGACATATGTGGCTACTTCACATGTCTACCTTCACAATGTGTCTACCTTGAGTGAAAAGCTACAATTTTTAATTTAATTTAAACAACACCATGTGACTATTGGCTCTATACTGGATAGCAGAGCTATATCTCCTATAAGAAGCTGTAGCCTTGGGCTTGAGTTATGGCTCAAGCAGTAGAGCACCTGCCTTGCCAGTGAGAAGTCCTGAGTTCAAACTCCAGTACTATTGAAAAAAAAAAGCTGCAGCCTTATAAATCCTCATCCCTAATGAGTAATTTCTAAGAATCACAAGATAAGTGTGAACAAATTAATTTGGAAAGGAATGGACAACCAAAGCCAAAGACTGCAGACGCCTAAGAGATCCAGAGGTTTAGTTTATGGCCACAGGGAAAAGCTACTTTTATACCTTTCCGGTGCAGTATATTTTTAAATTTTGTGCTATAATTCAATGGTGAAAGGAAAGTAGTTTCAACTAATGGTGTTAGCAAAACAGACACAGACAGAAAATGAAACTTGATCCCTCTCATTAGCATATATAAAATTTAATTTGAGGTGGATTATAGACCTAAACATAAAAAACAAACACTATCTTTCTGACCTTTAGGCCAGGAAAAGATTTCTTACACAAGATCCAGAAAGCTGTAAATAAGGAAAAAAAGCCATAAAGGAATTGCAAATTAAAACAATACTAGCATTCTATCTCATCCCAGTCAGACTGTCAATCAACAAGAACACAAACAACAACATATGTTTGCAAAGACACAGGGAAAAGAAGTTCTCATACACTGTTTGTGGAAATGTAAACTAGTGCAACCACTGGAAATTAGCATGGAGATTCCTTAAAAAACTAGACTAGGCCTACTTTATGACCCTGCTATATCACTCTTGGGGATATATTTGAAGGAGTGCAAATCAATATACAACGGAGATACCTGCATATTAATCTTTATTGTAGCTCTCTGTTCAAAAAAGCTAAACTGTGGAATCAGATGAAGTACACACACTCTCTCTCTCTCTCTTTTCTCTCTCTCTCTCTATCTCTATATATACACATACATACATACATATATATAGGAATATTATATCTATCTATAGACATAGGTAGATCTCCCATGGACTATTACTCAGCCATGAACAAATTAAATTATATCATTTATAGGAAAACAGATCAGAGCAGTGGCTGATGCCCACAGAGGAAATGACTTAGAAGTAGCACAAAGCTACTGAAAAGCTCCTAGACACCATCAATAGCTATAGCAAGGCAGCAGGATATAAAATCAACATAGAAAAATCATTAGCATTTCTATACACTAATAATGAACAATCTGAGAAAGAATATATGAAAACAATTCCATTTACAATAGCATCAAAAAAAAAATCAAATACCTAGGTATAAACTTAACAAAGGATGTGAACAACCTCTACAAGGAAAACTATAAACTTCTGAAGAAAGAGATTGAGGAAGACTATAGAAAGTGGAGAGATCTCCCATGCTCATGGGTTAGTAGAATCAACAAAGTAAAAATGTCTATACTCCCAAAAGTAATCTACATGTTTAATGCAATTCCCATCAAAATTCCAATGACATTCATTAAAGACATTGAAAAATCTACCGTGAAATTTATATGGAAACACAAGAGGCCACAAATAGCCAAGGCAATACTCAGTCAAAAGAACAACGCTGGAGGTATCACGATACCCGACTTCAAACTATATTACAAAGCAATAACAATAAAAACAGCATGGTACTGGCACAAAAACAGACATGAAGACCAGTGGAACAGAATAGAAGACCTAGATATGAAGCCACACAACTATAACCAACTTGTCTTTGACAAAGGCACTAAAAATATACGATGGAGAAAAAGCAGCCTCTTCAACAAAAACTGCTGGGAAAACTGGTTAGCAGTCTGTAAAAAACTGAAACTAGATCCATGTATATCACCCTATACCAATATTAACTCAAAATGGATCAAGGACCTTAATATCAGACCCCAAACTCCAAAGTTGATACAGGAAAGAGTAGGAAATACTCTGGAATTAATAGGTATAGGCAAGAACTTTCTCAATGAAACCCCAGCAGCACAGCAACTAAGAGATAGCAGAAATAAATGGGACCTCATAAAACTAAAAAGCTTCTGCTCAACAAAAGAAATGGTCTCTAAACTGAAGAGAACACCCACAGAGTGGGAGAAAATATTTGCCAGTTACACATCAAAGGACTGAGAACCAGAATATATAGGGAACTTAAAAAAACTAAATTCTCCCAAAACTAATGAACCAATAAAGAAATGGGCAAGTCAACTAAACAGAACTTTCTCAAAAGAAGAAATTCAAATGGCCAAAAAGCACATGAAAAAATGCTCACCATCTCTAGCAATAAAGGAAATGCAAATTAAAACCACACTAACATTCCACCTCACCCCTGTTAGAATAGCCATCATCAGCAACACCACTAACAACAGGTGTTGGCGAGGATTCGGGGAAAAAGGAACCCTCTTACACTGTTGGTGGGAATGTAGACTAGTACAACCACTTTGGAAAACAATTTGGAGGCTACTTGAAAAGCTAAACATTGATCTACCATTTGATCCAGCAATACCTCTCTTGGGGATATACCCAAAAGAATGTGACACAGGTTACTCCAGAGGCACTTGCACACCCATGTTTATTGCAGCACTATTCACAATAGCCAAGTTATGGAAACAGCCACGATGCCCCACCACTGATGAATGGATTAAGAAAATGTGGTATCTATACACAATGGAATTTTATGCAGCCATGAAGAAGAACGAAATGTTATCATTCGCTGGTAAATGGATGGAATTGGAGAACATCATTCTGAGTGAGGTTAGCCTGGCCCAAAAGACCAAAAATCGTATGTTCTCCCTTATATGCGGACATTAGATCAAGGGCAAACACAACAAGGGTATTGGACTTTTATCACGTGATAAAGCAAGAGCACACAAGGGAGGTATGAGGTTAGGTAAGACACCTAAAAAACTAGACAGCATTTGTTGCCCTCAACTCAGAGAAACTAAAGCAGATACCTTAAAAGCAACTGAGGCCAATAGGAGAAGGGGACCAGGAACTAGAGAAAAGGTTAGATCAAAAAGAATTAATCTAGAAGGTAACACACACGCACAGGAAATCAATGTGAATCAACTCCCTGTATAGCTATCCTTATCTCAACCAGCAAAAACCCTTGTTCCTTCCTATTATTGCTTATACTCTCTCTTCAACAAAATTAGAGATAAGGGCAAAATAGTTTCTGCTGGGTAGCGAGGGGTAAGGGGGGGTAAGGGAGGGAGTGGGGGTCAGGAGGTAAGAGAGGGTGTGGGGGGAAGGGAGTGGAGGGGGGAAGGGGGGAGAAATGACCCCAAACATTGTATGCACATATGAATAAAAAAAAAAAAAAAAAAAGCAGCATGCACAAAGGAACTCTGCATGCTCATGGGAATATTATGTGTCCTGATAAGAGTATCTTAACTGCACACCTAAATGCAATGCCTTTTACTGTTTATAAATTATACATCAATAATAAGTTTTAAACAGTGTAAAATGGATTCATATTTGTTGCCAGTTATTTAAAATGTAGGTATTATGCCTCTGAAAATGAGTGTAATATGGTTTCCTATGATGTCAAACAGTGTACTATGGTTCTCAAGCTATAGTGTAGTATTTGGCAACCAGTATTTCATTTATATGAAACAGAATCAAAGGGAATATTAGAATGCAATAAAAAATATCAATGTGTCATATGGTAAAGTCAAGGATTGTTTTGTGAAACATTAAGTGTGTGTATAATGAGTTATAATGTAAAGCTTATTTCTTACTGAGGGTTGCTGGAAAAATGTTTGAAAACCATACTCAAGTATACTGTTAAGGTCAAAATTTCTTCTCAACTGTTGATTATAGATTTAACCTTCAAGGAGTATGCTGCCACCAGGTGGAGGTCCTATGCCACAACTATATCTTAGCCAGGGGATATTAAACTTCTGTACGCCATGGACCTCTGTGAGCAGTTGTGAAGCTGATAAAATGTGCTCAGAGTATTTTTAAATGCATAAAACATAGGATTGAGGCAAAAACTGATTGCACTGAAGTATAGTTAATAACATTTTAAAAACCAAAATTCACAATATAGAAATGTATGTCCATGTTTATAAAGGAACTAGTTCTTGTCACAATAGGAGGACTACTATAAATTGAAAGTAGTGAAGAACATTAATGATATTTTCTGCTATCTGCAACAACTGGAATATTAAAAAACAGCTGCAATTTCTAACAGTGACAAATAATGCTAGTAGCATTGGGCTTTTAATTCTATATTCATAATAAAAGGAAACCTACATTTATTAGAACTTGGTCAAAATAAAGATAATTTTTCCCCCATCCAAGCCCACTGAAACACTGAGGTTTCAGGTGTTGTCAAATAAAAGCCCCTCCATAGCAGTGAGAAGGGCCCCTGTCTCATTTTCCTACAGGTGTTCCACCCTGATTCTTGTCTAAACAAGTTATCTGCTACCCCTTAATTTGCAAAAGCAATCCTTAAAAGTAAAAAAAAAAAATTTAAAGTGATGCTTGAACAACTTGGACTGACAGTGTGACAGCAACTATCTGAAAAATTATACATATGGTTCAATACAGTAGTTTCTCACCTCTTTATGACTCTGATCACAAATAACCCTGTATAAATTTGATAAACAGACTTAATAGAATGTCTTTTTCTTTCTTAAATAAATCATTGCATCTTATTCTGGTAATCACACTTTCTTGCGTTTCTGGAAGACTCCACTGCTAGGCAGGTAGTCCCTCCTTCCCACAGAGGCTCTCCCTCAGCAGCTGGGAGGCCTGAGTTCTGTCCAGTATGAGCTCTCTCAAACTCCAAAACTAACCAGAGGGATTTTGCCTTTCTAAAGTTCCCTGACCTCAATGCTTTGTATCTTTTCTCCCTTGAGTAAACAAAAGTGACAAAACAAAACAAAACTTACCATAGCAGGCAGCACAGCACAGCCTCCTTTCCCCTCCTCCATAATTAGGAGGTTCTTTCTACTCTCAGAAGATAAATGCTCCAGCACTCCTGGCAGAGGAACAATAAGGTAACCATTACTTCTTTCTTGGGCCAGAGTTGGTCATTTCACAGAGGCCAAGTTACTTCCTTACAGCCTTGCATCCTGTACACTGGGCTGTGTATCTACAAACCAGGGTCTGTTGTAGCTTTCACACACTCCCTCCCTCATTCACCTGGAGGTTTCAGTCAAAACCCTGGTAATCACCCCCAACTTGTCCCTTCCACTAGCCTTGCAGAATCAATCACCCCATCTTGTTGGTTTTATTTGAACTCAGAGTGTCATCTTGCTGGGCAGGTACTCTTACCACTTGAGTCACTCCATTAGCCTTTTTTTTTTTCCTTTGGTTATTTTTGAAATAAGGTCTTGCTTTATACTGGGCTACCTGGACAGTGATCATCCTTTTATGCTTCCCTTATAGCTTGGATGCCAGGGGCATGCCATTGTGCGTAGTTATTGGTTGAGATTGCGTCTCACAGACTTTTTGCCTGGCTGGCCACAAACCAAAATCTTCCAGATCTCTGCCTCTAGGATTACAGACTTGAGCCACCATACCCGATGGTTTTATTTTTTAAACAGTTTTCAAGGACATCCTCCTTTCTTGCTCTGCTGCTCATCTCACCTCCCACTTGGACTATTACAGCCATTTCTGATGGTGATCCAGAGGAACCCTCAATGTCTCTCCCAAGACAATCTCTAGAATGCCAACCAGATCCAGTGTAAATCCACGCCTGCTGAAGCTCAGAACACCACATCTTGAGCCTCTGATGAGACCTACCTCTCCCGCTGTTTCCCACTACTCTTCAACACAGGGATTCTTTGCTCTCTGCTTAGAACGCCTCTCATTGCTCCCATCCTTGGTGAACTCCTATGTACCTTAGAAGCTTTTTTGGACAGTTTCTCCCCTCTCCTGGGACTGGATACATTCTTTATATGCTTATGGAATTCTCTATTAAGTAACTGGTCCATGGAGGGGTCTTCCCTCCTAGACTGTGAGCTCCAGTGGAAATGAATCCACACCTGTGCTGACTCTGATTAGTATAGCAACAGCTCACAGAACATGCTTCATATTTACTGAAAGGAAGAAAGAACAAATGAACAAATGACAGAACATACTAGCCCTGAGATCCAGGCAAAGCACATCCTTATCTGCAAAGTGAGGACTCTAAAGCTCTTTCTGGGGACAAGGCCACTGGTCTTCAGCCCAGGACGCTGATGCATTGCAGAACAACTTTCTTCTCTCCTTATTCTAGAGTGGCAACTGTGTCATCACCAGTGACAGTTACTTTTTAAATTCTGTAAAATGGGAAGACAAGGATCCTGAGACTGTCTCACAATAAACTCACTACCAACCAAGCATAGTGGTTATTTCACCTATCTCCCTGCTAAGAATTCTAGAGTTGTAATTTAACTTCCCGTTTCCAAGTCTTCATAGGTAGGAGACCTTGCCTTCTGATTTTACATGAGGTAAAATGTAAAGGTGAAAAATGTGAACATGTCTCACACACATTTTTTTTTAAATTTTTTTCTAAATTTTATTTATTTATTTTTTATATATTTTTTTCTTTTATTATTCATATGTGCATACAAGGCTTGGGTCATTTCTCCCCCCTGCCCCCAAACCCTCCCTCACCACCCACTCCGCCCCCTCCCTCTCCCCTCACCCCCTCAATACCCAGCAGAAACTATTTTGCCCTTATTTCTAATTTTGTTGTAGAGAGAGAGTATAAGCAATAATAGGAAGGAACAAGGGGTTTTGTTGGTTGAGATAAGGATAGCTATACAGGGCATTGACTCTCATTGATTTCCTGTGCGTGGGTGTTACCTTCTAGGTTAATTCTTTTTGATCTAACCTTTTCTCTAGTTCCTGGTCCCCTTTTCCTATTGGCCTCCATTGCTTTTAAGGTATTTGCTTTAGTTTCTCTGTGTTAAGGGCAACAAATGCTAGCTAACTTTTTAGGTGTCTTACCTATCCTCACCCCTCCCTTGTGTGCTCTGCTTTTCTCATGTGCTCATAGTCCAATCCCATTGTTGTGTTTGCCCTTGATCTAATGTCCACATATGAGGGAGAACATACGATTTTTGGTCTTTTGGGCCAGGCTAACCTCACTCAGAATGATGTTCTCCAATTCCATCCATTTACCAGCGAATGGTAACACTTCGTTCTTCATGGCTGCATAAAATTCCATTGTCACACACACTCTAACTCCCTCATTTATTCATTAAATACCTGCTGAATCTCAAAGGGATACTGTATGTCCATCTGGCATTAAGGATTTAAGGTAGCTTTGAGCAACAAGACAAATATTAAAAACAGGAAAAACAAGAATAAAAACTGAAAATGAAGTCAAAGACAGTCTGTACAAAAGTTCCACCATATTCCTAAGTCTTTGCAACATTAGGCTCTGAATTTCCTAGTTGACAATGTTAAAAATGAAAGGCCAGTCAGAGTCCGTAAGTTACGAAGATAATTAGCGTGAGGACAGCTAAAAGATGTTTCCCCTGAAATCTTCATTAAAACAAACAAAACAAGCAAGCAAACAAACAACAACAACAAGAAACCCAGAACAACAACCACCAAAAAAAACCATGGCAATCTCCTTCCTGGAGCATCAATTTTACTAAAACATTTGTAGGAAAAGTATTAAAAAACTTTTCTTTTCTCTTTGAGACAGGGTCTCACTGTACAGTCGGGTGGCCTTAAACATGCCATTCTCATACTCCTGCTGAAGCCTCCTGAGTGCTGCTTAGATTATGAAGGGTACCCACACTTGACTTAAATATATATCTTACAGCATGAAACTTAAAAATCAAGTAACTTTTAAAGAAAAATCAGGTTTTGTTTTGTTTTGTGTGGTACTGGGGTTTGACCTCAGGGTTTCACACTTGCTAGGCAGACACTCTACCACTTGAGCCACCCCACCAACCCAAAATCAGAAGTGATGTTTTTAAACACCACTTACAGAGCATCTACACTCCAGGCACTAGGTTAAGCTTTACCCACGGTATTCAATTTAATTCTCACCACTGACATGTTAAGGAAGACAACTATTAATCTCATTTTATAGAATGGAAGTTGAATTGGAGAGCGTAACAACTAGTTTAAGGTTACACAAACAAGTGATTCTTGTTTTTTTAATCTAGCCAAATTTAGATTAAAAAACTTAGAATCAAATCAAGATTTGTCACACTCTCGAGTCCACTGCCACACCACACTTTGAAGAAATTTTCCCCCTGAAGAAGGCCACTTAGAGCATACTTCTAGACCTCACATACGGGCACATTTAAGGATGCTACCCTGGAACTCATGCCCTGTAGTGTGCCCTTTAGGCCCCCTGTTCCTTCTGGGATACGCAGTGGCAGTCATGTTTACTCTATAAGAATCATAACCTCCTTCATGCCTGGTGACTACACCAAGCATTCTGAATGGGGTCACTCAGCTCCCTTCCCTGGACAGCTGGGCTCTATGCGTGAACAGAGGTACTAAAAGCTCAGATACTGAAGCTGACGCTGGTGGGACACTGTTGGAATAACAATGCAGTGAAGACTGGAGTCCCATTGTAGAGAAACTAGCAGAAGGAAAGATGAAAAGGGGAAAGAAATGCAGCAGAGGATGAGAGCAATTAGTCATGCAGAAGATGGGGTGGAGTTGTTGGGGTAGGAAGAGAGGTCTCTTAAAAACATTAAGAATCCCTAGTGAGAGAGTAAAAACCTAAAGAAAAATCAACACAAAGATGCTGCCAATGTACCCCCTTTCCCTGCTCCTCATGTAAAATACTGGCCCAAGCTAGAAGCTGCCATTCAAGAAAAGAAATCATCTTACTATTTGGGCAACATATACAATAAACTAGTAAAAAGGTCAGGAGATGGGAGAATAATCATTCTGTTGGAATGTATTATATTCATAGTCTACCTGTGCAAACTTACTACTAGTTATTAAGTTGGTAATAACAATAGTTAAGATTCACTGAGCACTAATTGTGTGTCAGATATGGTGTGTCAAGCCCTTTTCTGTATATTATTGCATTTGATTCTCATGACAAACCAGAGAGGCAGAAAATACTACCTACCACTCACTCAGTGTTGTGGAAACACTGAAAAACTTAACAGCAATATTTCTCTTTTAGAATATCCCTGGTGATCATGGCTGGGTTTTTGTTTGGTGTGGTATCTTGCCAATCCAGCAATACTTGTCAGGCCAGGAACAAGGAACAAGTCATAATCTAACAGAATTAGACACAGCCTGAATTTGAGATCACAACACACAAAGGCCCAAAGAAAGCCCTCTAACGACAAATGGAGAATGGCCTGGCACAGGAAATCCAAAGACTATGAATATCTTCTGATGATGTCCCAGTTTTTGTATCACCACCCTTCTCAGGGTGTCAGTTTCCCCATATGTAAAACAAGAGGACCACCAGATCTCCTTCAAGGAACTTCCACTGTGAGGTTCCATCTCCAGTTGTTTTGGTTTGTTACCATTTACTTGGCACACCTAATGTCTCTCCTCCTGTAAAGATCACAATACAGCCACATTGAAGTCTGGCCTCTTGTCCTGTCCTCCATCTGTCCGGCATGGGCCACATACATACAGTAGTAAAATCCCCATTTCCTGCTGTGCTGTCCTTTATAGGCATGATTTTGTCTTGGTAATCAATGATGACAAATGCCATCCCCATTGCTGAAATAGTGGTCTGAACCACAGAAGATGGAAATACCCAATAGGGTTGACCAAGGTAAAAATCTTAATAAATAATGAGTTCTTCCCTAAAATATTCCATTAACATCTGCGGGCAGGATTAAGCTCTTCTGCTATGCCACAACATTTTCTTCATGCTAACAATATGGAGTTTATCATAGGCCACAAGCACATGACTACATCCATTCCCTCTGCCACTGGGCAGCCTGCAGGGAAGAGTTGCCTTCTGTTATCTTAGGGTTGTCAATACTTAGTACTGAGTGTGGCACATGAGTAGTCATGAGGAATATTTGTTAAATGAATGAAAATACCAAAGACAAAAATTACTTAAGTGCCTGCCTTGCTGTCTTTCTAAAGGGACTGCCTCTCTTTCTCTTACACCCTCTTCTAAGACTAGAAAGACTGCCTCACATATGAACAGAAATTGACACTGATGCCCACTGCTCCAAGTCAAGTAGTTATTTTCTCACATTACAATGCAAGGATAAACCCTGGTTTGTGATGTGAATTCAGACCCATTAGAAGGTAATTCCTCAGTTGATGATGGATAACTAGTTCTTTGAACCCAAGTTTTTCTAGTTGAAAGGGATGGAGGGGAGGGTATGGTCTCCCTAGTGACTGGGATGGGAGACAACTTTTCTTTCCTGCTTGGTTGTGGGACTTCTAACGACAGGGCAGAGATGTGCAACTTTCCAGGCACTTACTTTTTACAACAAATTTATTACGATTGGGGAAAGATTTTACAAAGATAAAGAATAACTCTTAAAAGAAATGAAAAAGAAAGATGAAGGAAAAGTAGGACAAATGGGCTTGGTGACAGTTTCTAAAAGGAGGAAAAAAGAATAAGAGACTGATAGATATCTCTGGTAAATTATCTCTGGTCTACTAAAAAAAAGTTTTGTTTTGTTTTTTTGCTTAGATTACTCATAGTCTATTCTGAACAGAATTTGAAAATTTGGAAAAGAAAACAAAATAAAGCAATGGCCAACCAAAGTGGTATTGATGAAGGAATACTTAAATTTAATATATGCCATAGGAGCTTTTAGTAGAATCTGAGGCTGAATCATAGACTAAAATCCATCAATGCATG